TTAAGGAGGAAATGTTCCCTTCTTTTACACCTCTTGACCTTTGACCTTTGACCCCCAGCTTCGACATCCCAACTCGTTTTCGGATTACCCCCCCACGTCCCGAATATCGTAACCGTACGTCAAGCGGTTAAGATTTGTGCCCAACTGTGACTGTTGATGCACGGACAGACGGACGGACGCACGACCGGACGAACACACGCTCATGCGATTCTACAAGCTGCATCTGACTATGTCACAGTCAGATGAGCTAAAAATACAATTATTGTCCCCCATCTAAACATATTTGTTGCAAACGTGTTGCCAGATAAACAGCTATTTTTGTGCTTGGAATAAGTTGGCCTCTGCACAGACAAGAATAGCATTTGTACAATATTGAGATGTATCTATAAATACATTCTGTACGCTCCAGCATCCTCTGCCAATGACAATCAATCTCAAATATAGATAAACATCACGTGCCTGTAGTGAACAAAAAACGAATGCAAAATAGTTACTTAGTAGTTAGCTAGTTAATAATTACACTTTAAAAAACTTGTTATTTAAGATAAAACAAAAATTTTGATGGGAAGATTGAAAGAGCTAGTCTAGCCTGAAAAGAAGGCATTTTTATTGCATTTAAGAATGGTTTGCTTAGCAGTAACTGGATTGGAAACTGTATAACATGAGTTAATAGTAACAGTTTCAAATATTTCAGGTCAATGCTATTTCTTTGTAGTTCTGTGGAAGAGTGAATTCTGTATGTACAGTAACATAGTACATTATACTTGTTAATTAACAGGTTATTTAAACAAGATGTCAATTTATTATATTGTAACAATACGCATTAGGTTGGCATCTACCAGTGAATATCTGAGGAAAAAAATTCCACACGGCACGATCCCCTGCACATTCATTGTTAGATACAATAATGTAACCCAAACCCAGGATAGGGTTACAACGCGTCGCTATGGTTTTCTTTGGAGGAAAATCAGGGAACCCCTGAGTGAATCACTCAGGGCGGTTTGCTGGTGCGTTTTCAGAGACTAGAACTTCCAAACTGGGTTTATTCTCAACACGAACCTTTTCCATGCCTCTTGTTTCCCATATATATATACAATGTGTACATATGAATATGCGTGTGTGCGTGCTAGCGTGCATATAAAATAACATACATAACTACCAAGCTATGACCTGGAACCAACGTAGCTACAGAGAACTATCGCGTGGAACGCATGTATCTATGGAGAGCTATGGCTTAGCCTTACCAAAGTCTGCGATCTTGACGCCCGTGTTGTGGTCTAGCAGCAGGTTTTCTGGCTTCAGGTCGCGATGGACGACCATGTGTCGGTGGCAGTAGTCGACGCCGGATATAATCTGCTGGAAGAACTTACGTGCCTCGCTTTCCTTCAGCTGTGAAAACGACAACGCACCATGGCAACGCACCATGGCAACGCACCTCGTCAGGACAGATCCACAGTTCGCACACCTCGCGGCATCGCCACGGTTTGCAATCGTTTCACGAGATTAATAACACGAGTTAATTCGTTTGAAAGTTTGCTTCGTATCACGACATCAAGGTTCATCGAGATCATGCGGCGGCGAATAGCAAATGTCACTGTGCGTGTTGAGAATTCATAGATTAGGAGCTTTGGAAGAATTTACGTGAGATACAGTTCAGTAAAATACACGCAGTCTGCTGTATGAACAGATTTTCGTATTTTCACATGTGATGTCAGACACACAACTAATCACAGTTCCGATAAAAACTTGTTGAGGTAAACTACGGAAGCACTATCTAAACATACTAACATTCGAATGATATAAGTGCATAGGCATCTAATAATTTTACTCGAGTCAATACCTTTCCATGCTTCACAATATAGTCGAATAGTTCTCCACCAGCTACATATTCCATAACCATGAAAATATCAGTTGGTGTGCTAATAACTTGGTATCTAAAAGTAATAGCAAAAACAGTCGTGTTATGCATAGAAGCCACAGCATATTGCAAATACTTGAACTTTATAACTTCTACATTGTCTAAAACGTATTACATAAGATAACAAATAAAATTTAATACAACTGCGAGAGGTTTTAACAAGTGCCGCGGCGCGACAGCGCTCATCTAACGTCTACTGCGGTGACTCTGTGGTGGAGTTGTGGGATTCTAGTAAACCATGTTAGTCCCAAATGTGTTCACATACACGCCGAAACAGTGGAAGGCACAGCCAGGGATGGTATCAGGAACCTTCTCAAAGGAATGTTCGTTGGAATCGTTACGAAAGTTGCCTCGAGATGGCGCGTACGTTTAAGTGTCTTAAGATTAAAGTTAGAAGCTCCCATCGTACGTAGTAGCAACAACTATTTCCACGACAGAATAGGTGAGCACTCATCCATTTACCTACGCAAGCCTACAGGCTGTCCAGTGTTGGCATGATCAGGCTTAACAGCTGTTCAAGCATGGTGATGGTCATCTAAACGAGAGTTGACCGCCTTGATGCCATATGATATATCGAATTTCGAGGGAAAGCACACCCTAAGGTTCATAACCAGCAAAAATACTAAAACATGTCACTGCAGAACGAATACAACCACCTTGCATGATATCTTTTGTTACATAGTCTGTCTAGCAAATGTTAAATAGTGTATCTTGCACATGTTGATGTATCTAAAAATAAAATATTAAAGCTGCAATTGTGCTTACATAATAACGATACGAAAAATATTCGTATGAACATTCCTGTGCCTAAAACGTTACAATCCCTCTTGATTACTATAACTGCATTCTAAACGCTATACATAGCAATAGACGACCATATTCACTTGCCCTTTATATAGAGTTAGTCATACTGACCAAACTGGCTTAATAATCCTTATAACAACGACTTTAGTTTAGCTGATATTTGTTCTCTTTGCTATCAGTATATACACGTATCTTTAGATTCAATGCATGCAATTGAGATTACTCTGTCAATCGTACAACACCCCGTTTGATATCACATATACTATATAAAAATATTAGTGAAATCGGCAACGAAAATCGCACAGGGGGAGCGATCACAAGTTTCAACTCAAGCAATTCTTCGAATTTTCTCGTCACACGACTCGCCTTACAACCGCTTTCGCCGTAGCCAGGATCATCAATAAACCACGTTTAACCAACATTACATTCTAGCCACGAGTTTTCGACGAGTTTACTTGCATGTAGATCTGCAACATTGTGCTAAAGGTACTTGCAGTCCGAAATACAATGTTCGACGCAAAATCCTGCAACCAGGCGGTCAAACGTGGACACGGCTGCTGCTTTTTATACAGCGATGTATATACACGCAAAACACCAAGAGGAATACTAAAGCCATACTGTACACTGCTCAAGTCTGCACACTCGAATAATTATATAGGAGATATGCCTTCGTTATATATATATATATATCGACTAATTCACCAACTTGAAGAGATTGCAATCATGTGACTGGCCCTTTAACCGACTTTAGAATAAAATAAGCCACCTCAATATCGAAAGCATGGAGGGTTTAGCATCGGCAGCAAAAAATATTCAAAATGATATTCTCTTACAAGTAAAATTGTCACCGTTCGCAAGAATCCGCATCACGATTCCTTATTGTCGTGAATTACAAATAAAAATGTGAAGCTGCAAGATGCTTGCTTGCGCAAGAAGGAACTGTGAATTTCTAGTTATCGACCGGCATGTGGAAACGAAAATCCCACAATGAAGACTAGTGTTCTATACTCGGAAATAGTGAATATAATCATGAAACACACGACAACAACGCCTCTTGTTTTTAAACTTCCATCACTACCCGGTTCAACGGAAGCACTCCGGCGCAAACAACACACCACCAAAAGATCGCGCACCGAACACCGACGGTAACTAACTTAATGGAACAAAAGCGCGTCACGACCCGACGACCCAACGACGACAATAGGAAAATCTAAACGCTACGATGCCGCCGTCGATCCGAAATTCGGCGAAAAATGCGCCGTCTTCGTGCCTCGGGAACGTTGACGCGGCGCGCTCCCGCGGCGTGCGATCTATCGCGC